TTAAAATCCTCATCTGAGGACATTTTCTCCATTTTTTGTTCAGATAGAGTGGGAGGGAGAGAGAGGGAGAGAGAGAGAGAGAAACATCGATGTGAAAGGGACACATCGAGTGGCTGCCACCCACATGACCAACCAGGGCCGGGGACAAACTGCAACCGAGGTACATGCCCTTAGCGGGAACCGAACCCGGGTCTCTCTGGACCACAGGCCAACACTCTAACCACTGAGCCAAACCGGCCAGGACCGTATTCAGCTTTTGCTCGAATTGGTGGCTCTTCTTTTGATTATAGGTTTGTTTGACCTGTGAGCTTAGTTCTTTGGATCTTTTTTCAAACTCAAAGTCACAGGATTTCGACCCGAGCAGAGCGAGAACCAGGGCCCAGAGCCTTTCACCTCACGCTGGGGCTGTGCCCAGCCCTGGACACACTGTTCCCAGCACTGGACTGTCCCCCATGTCCCCAACACCAGTGACAGCAGCCAGGCCGTGTCTGCTGTGAGCTGCCCCGTCCTCCTTCCTCAAAGGTGTCAACCCCTCATTGCTATTAAATACGTCTCTGTGGTCACCCTGTCCTTTGGACAGTGACAACTGGGACAGAGCAAGTTCTTTGTAAGCAGCACCCCAACCTCACCCAGGAGTCTGAGGCCCAGCGTCTAGGACTGGATTTCTTGCTCCTCACCAGCCAGCCAAGGTCCCATGGTGCCCCGTGCCCACCAGGAGAGAACTCCCAGGGCCTGGCAGGGCTGTGCGCACAGTGGCCGGGCCTGCGTGATGTCACAAGGGCTGGGGAGGGGCCCCAGGTGGAGCAGCTCCTCCCTGGAGAAGCTGGCTCTGCAAGACCCCCAGCCCCCGGAGGGAGCTGGCCCAGGCCCCGGGGCCACCACCCCGATGGGGGGCTCCCTCCGCAGGCCGGCCCTGAACCCCACGTCCCCGCAGCCTCCTCTGAGCTGGCCTTGTCTCCGGAGGGCTCAGCGGACGTGGCCCCCGCTGGAGAACACGGGCCCTGGATTCCACTGCCCAGCAATTCTCAACCTCTTCCATCTCCTGGCACATAAACTGAGTCCTAAAATTCTGTGGCACACCAAAAAATATATTTTTTGCCAATCTGACAAAAAAAAGATAATTTTGACTTACAAAAAACAGTAACGATAGTAATTACCCACCTGAGTCTGCCGTGCGCTGGGGTCACGGGTGGCGGTGAGCACGGCGCAGACCCCGCTGAAGAGTGACAGGACGCGCCCCTGAGGCCCTAGCCTGCGCCTGCAGCCCGGGCTGAACGGGAAGGTGGAAGTCAGTGACGGTGAACGTGCAGAGGCTCCGCCTCACGAGGCCCGTCCATGTGTTCACAGCTCTCCGCAGCACAGACAGAGCCGCTGTCCCTGCAGGGCACAGGTCGGCCGCCGCAGAGGACGCCCGTCCCACCTGAGCCTGGGCCCCGCTCAGACTGTGCCTTTCAACACCCACCTGGTGCCCAACCTCCAGGGCCCGGGGAGACTTCTCAACAAAAGGACCCACCCAGCTCACAGTGCCGATGCCCCTCAGGGGGAGGCAAAGGGACCCACCAGCATGCTGTCCACTGAGGCTGTCTCTCCGTAACACCTGCTGGATCTCCAACTGGCCAAACCCCTGACATGATGGACATCTGTCCTTATCGTCGGCTCAGCAGCTGCCGGAGACCTTCAGGAGCCTACCTGTGACCCCTCAGCTCGTGGTCAGTGGGTCCATGTGTGGTCATGGCTGAGTCGGGGCCCTGAAGCCGCATGCGTTCCCAGCTCCGGCACCTGCAAAGCCCCCTGAGGAGGGTGTTCTGGGAGCTGCGCCTCCATTTGCGCCGCCTGGGAGGCACAGCTGACCCAGCAGCCCTGAACGGGAGCCCGCGCGGTGCAGACACAGCTGCCAGCCCAGACCCACGTCGGCAGAGGGACCCCACGGGCCGAGCTGAGGACCTGTGGGCTCGTGTCCGCCCATGTCACACCCACACGGCTCTCCAGTCTTTGCAAAGTTCCTGTGAACGCCCAGAACTTGCCCACAAAGTCCCTTTCTGCCTGATTGGCATTTTCCTGTCTACAACCAAGAAATGCCCCCAGCCCTTGGCTCCCATCTGCTGGACTGGATTGGGTTACACCTGGGGCCACCCTTTGGACCTCACCTGCCACCCACCCCAGGAAGCCAGGTGGGCGCACTGTCCCAGCCGGTCACCAGAGGTGGCCACCCGACGTCAGCAGACGGTGAGAGCCACTGTCCAAGTCTGGGTGAGGCAGGACCGTCTGGTCGTGGCCGCCACCCAGCACCTAGCAGGCCCCAGCCTGCTGTCACGCTGGTCCCCGGCCTGCACCTCCACCCAGGCAGAGGTCTGTGCCTGGGCTGCAGGGCACAGGACCCGATGGATGAAGAGCCACATCTCTCGTGCGGCGTATGTTCCCGCCAACAGGCTGCATGGCCGGCTCTTTTCCTGATGAGTCCTCCTGGTTGGGTGCGGAAGCTGCCACCTGGGGACACACAGGACTGAGGATGAGGACTCACAGGGACTGTGCCCCCGGATGCTCTGGAGGGTGTGCCCCCTCCCCCGCTGCCCTGTTCTTTCTGCATTTCCGTAGTCTCTGACGGGCCACCACCCTCCTCCCCCTCCCTCCCTCTCTCCCTCCCTCCCTCTCCCTCCCTCTCTCTCTCTCTCTCTCTCTCTCTCTCACACACACACACACACAGAACACGCCTCCCCCAACCCCAGCATCTGTGCAGCTTGGAGGGCTCTGTCTCGCACCGTCACCCTCCCGCCACTGGAGGGCAGTGTGGCCGCGCAGATCTCTGTGAGCCCTGGCTCATGGCTATGGGCTCCGGCCTGTCTGCAGCACCTGACACCTGCCACTGTCCTCAGCCGTCCCCTCCCACCCTCCAGCGACAGGCTCTGCCCTCCCGAAGGGCAGGGGGGCAGGGTCGTTCTGACAGTGCCCAGTTGTCCATCCTGAAAATACATGTTAAAATGGTCCTCTCGCTGTAGCCCTGGCGTGACCCCAGGGCAGACAGGAGACAGGGCAGGCTGCCTTTGGGTGATCGCTGTTCACTTGGGGTCCTCAGGAGAGCCATGTGGAGGAGGGACAGGAGGGACAGGAGGGACAGGAGGGACGGGAAGGACGGGAGGGACGGGAGGGACGGGAGGGACCGGATGGCCGATCTCTGGTTTCACTGGGGGCTGAGATCGCTGGTCCACCCCACTCCGAGGGGCTGCCCTGGAGGGTGACCGCCTGGGGCAGAGGGGCAGCAGGGAGGCTGTGAGCTGGGCATGAACCCACCCTGCCTGGCTCTTTCCAGGCCCCCGCTGACCTCACCACGCTGGGTATGCTGTCCTACACCGACCCCCCACCTCATAAGCCTCGGGGCCCCACGGACTGGCTCTGCCCCTGGGCACGAGGGGCCCTCCGTCTGGGACCAGGGCAGGGCCAGTGCCTGGGGCGGGGCTGGGGAAACTGGTGCGGCTCCAGCAGGAGGCCCCTCTGCTTCCCGCAGTGACAGGATCCAGAGAGCCTGGCCCTGCAGGGCCCGGAAGGGGTCCTGGGAGCACACACCGCGGGCAGCCCCAGGGAGGGGCTTTCTGCAGGAAACAGGAAGCAGGCCAGCCCTCCCTCTGGAGCCAACATCGTCGTTTTAATCCTCACCCAAGGATCTTTAGAGAGAGTGGAAGGGAGGGGAGAGAGGGAGAGAGAGAAACATCCACGTGAGAGAGACACATCGATTGGTTGCCTCTGCACACGCCCCAACCAGGACCTGCAACCCAGGTACATGCCCTTGACTGAGAATCAAACCTTTAACCCTTTGGTCTGCGGGCCGACGCTCTAACCGCTGAGCACACCGGCCAGGGCAGCGACATCCCCCCTATCCCACTGGACAGTCCCCATGCCTGCCCTTCGCCCTCGGAGCGCTGAGCAGACCTGCTCTGTTGTCCGGCGGGCAGCTGGGGAGGGACAGGCCAGGGCAGCAGCGCACAGACAGCCTCCGAACATCACCCACAGCAACGGGCAGTGGCCTCGCTCGGACTGGCAGACACCCGCCAGGCCTGGGGCACTGCCTCCCGGCCCCCTCCCCGCCCCCGTTGCTTCCTTGGCGTGTCTGTGCGTCATCTCTGGGAAATGCAGGCGGGTATTACCTTTCCTGGGGGATCTCAGGCAGAGAGGGTGCCGGTCCCAGGCCCGGCCTGTGCTCATGTCCTGCAGTGCCCTCCCTGAGCCTGCAGGCTGGACCTGTGACCCTCCCACGACGGGGACGCAGCCACGGTGACGGACGCCACTTCCTGTGGGGTTCAGGGGTTCAGAGGCCGGGCCTGTCTCACCCGCACCCTTGCTCTGGCTCCTTGCTGCTCTGAGGCCTGCTGGGAGCTGCCCGGTGGGGGGGCTCGTGCCGGAGACAGAGTCCTGGAGTCTCCAAGGCCCCAGCCTGACAGGTCCTGAACACAGAGCTGGGCGGGGGGGCACTGACACCTTTGTCACAAGCCGGGAAGTCTTGATAACAAATCCAGCTACTGGGGAAATCGAGAGAATAAAACACCACCACGCACCGAGCTGTTCGCTTTGGAGAGTTTATTTCTCTTTCCTGAAGTCTGGGTTTGCAGCGAAGCAAAGTGGTCCCTACTCGGCTGACAGTGAAGAGGATCGTACATTTTCATCTAATTTACAGGAACACGGGTCCGGGTTCAGTGGGCTCTTCACGGAGCAGTGCCCGGGCGGAGAGCAAAGGGACACCCCGCACCTCTGTGGGCTTTCAGTACGGCAACAGGGAAAGCGTTTACTCTACAGTTTGGACAAAGGCAGGAGCAAGTCTGAGGGACAATCACATAAAGACCATTTGGCTACAATACAAGTAATACGACAGGACTTCTTCCAAAAGCACAGCCCAGAGCACTTCGCCCTGAGCACACCCCTTGTCTGGGCTCAGGAAAGAGCCCTGTCCTGACTGAGCCAGGGCTCCCGTGGGCCCGCGGCTGGGGGGGCGGCTGGGGGCCGCCCTCGGCTCACACGTGCTCCTTGTCGAACTCGCACAGGAAGTGCATGGTGAGGCCGCAGGCCACGTCGTTCCAGCCCCCGGAGGCCACCATCTCCACGCAGTCCTCCTCCTCGTGGGCATTGTTGGGCTCCCCGCTGCGCCACCTGTGGAAGGTCTGCATGGGGGAGCGGTCGGCGTACATGAAGGCGCCCTCCCGCTCCAGGTCGTTGATCCCCACGAAGACGCGGGCCAGGCCGGCCTGCGCGATGTAGGCGGCCAGGAGGCTGTTGGTGGCCTCGTCCTTGGGCATGGCCAGCGTGCCGCCCCGGCCCTGGCAGGACAGCTGCGCGTCCACGTACGCCCGCTCCTCCTTCACCAGCAGGTAGATCTTGCTGTCGGTCTCCCGCACGCCGGCGACAGCTGCGGGGGAGGGCAGTCCTGGCAGGTGAGCACCGGGGTCCGGGAGCCACGCTGCGGGCCACGCAGACACGGCTTTGGGGCCGGGCCGGGGTGGGCGCACGGGGCAGGGAACATACCATTCTTTATGAACTTCAGCTCCGACGTCAGCTGGGTGACCTGGTTGTCCATCTCCCCGATGGCCTTCCTCAGCTGGCTGCACTCACAGGGGACCCCTGCGGAGACCAGGCCGGTCAGGAAGCTGAACCAGGGGCGGGGCCTCAGGAGAGAAGGGAGCAGCACTCCCCCAGGTAGGAATGTGGCTCAGCAGACCCTGCAGGCCCTGGAGGCCCAGGCGGAGGGGAGGGGACTGCCTGGCTCAGGGCCCCCGAGAGGCGGAGAGGACAGAACATTGAGACGATGGTGGTTGAACGGACGCAGTGATTGAACGTTGGGGTGCAGAGGAAGGGGTACAGGACACCAGGCTCCTGCCTCCGGGACTCAGTGGGAGGCGGCGCCGTTGGTGAGCTGGGCTGGGCAGAGGAAGAGGTGCCGAGATGTCCCTGTGGGACGCGAGCATCCCTGGCGCATGGGGAGTAAAGGGGGGTCGTGGGAGCTGGTGGTCAGGACGTGGACCGAGGAAAACACCCAGAAAGTGCAGGGGGACCCTGTGGCACCGGAGCAGGATGGAGAGGAGGCTGCGGTTCGGGACGGTGTGTCTGAGCGGAGGTCCCAGCACACGTGGTGGACAAGCAGACCGCAGACCTAAGAAGGACGTGAGAGTGTCCAGTGGGTGGATACGGAGCCTTGACCGTCTCGGCGGGCGTGCCAGCCACATGCACCCCTTTCCCGGCCCCTGCAGCCTCGTTCGTGAGTCACACTGTTTCTAAGGTGCCATTTGTTGTTGTGAGTCATCACCCGAGGACAGTGTCCAGTGATTTTGGGGGGGGAGGGGAGAGAAAAACCATCCATGTGAGAGAAGCACATCGACTGGCTGCCTCCCGCAGCTCCCTGACCGGGGCCGGGGATCGATCCTGCAACCCAGGTACTGCCTTGACCGGGAATCGAACCCATAACCCTCCAGTGTGAGGGCCAACGCTCTAACCACTGGACCACAGCAGCCAGGGCCAAACGTGGCACTTTAATCCATGTTTCAAAGCCCTTGGACCCTTGACACAGTACCTGGTTCTCCATTGGGGCCAGGGGGTCCCATGTCACCAGAAACCCCCTTTTCACCTGAAAGACAAAAGCAACGTCAGCGTCACCAAGAAGAGGCAGGACATGTTTCACGAGTTCACAGGTGTCCGGGCCAACGCGCTATGTCTTCTAGTGTGACGCCCTGGGTTTGTCCTGAGCCCAGAGCCACGCTCTGCAGACCACGGCTTCCCAGGCCCCACGTGTGTGGCAGGGACACCCCGCTTCACGGGACCTCAGAGAGGACCAGAGGGCCCTCTCTACACCAGCTCTGGAGAATCCTGATGTGCCCCGAGCACTCTGTGGACATCCCGTCCGGTGTCCTGACACCACCAGCAAGTGGCCACCACCCCGATGCTGGCTCTGCTCGGGGCCCTGGTCACAGCAGGACGATGCAGACAGAACGTGTGATCTCAGAGCTGAGGGGACCTCAGACACGACCTCGCCCACGTGGACAAGGGGTTCTCACCCCGCTAACCCATCTCCGACAGGCAGCAGGGGCCACAGGAGGGCACAGCCACCCGCAGACCTGGCTCCAGCCCCCTGTTAGGTGCAACACCCCACTTGTCCACCCTGCCTCCATTTCTCAAGGTGCACAGCAAGGAGCTTGAACAAAGGCCTGGCCACAGAGCCTCTGGCTGCTCTGAAAAATGAGACAGTGACTGTTGACATGACAGCCACGTGACTGTCCCCAAAGTGGTGTCTTTCTCCTGGGGAGAAATGACGGGTCTCATTGGGGGGCAGCAAAGGGTCAGGACCCCTCGAGTGTGGATTCCGAGTCCACTCGCCCAGGAAGGACTGAGCTTGGCGGTCTCCGTCCAGCGGACTCCTCTGTGTTCTTTGTCCACACCGGGGCGTGGAGACGACAGAGAGGCAGCCTGACGGGACCTGGGCGCTGACCGCACAGATGAAGTGAGCCAAGGGAGGGGGGCCACCTGAGGGTCCAGGACGGCCCTCGGTGAGACATGTACCCGGAGCACACACTGCACACGCAAAGCGTACACGCCCCTGCTCACAGGTCGACATCCCCTGCGCGGTCACAGTAGCTACCAGGCAAGGTGTGCACCAATAAAGCGTGGTCCGTCCGTGCAATGGAACATCGTTTAGCCGTAAAAAGGGCGGGAATTCTGACACCGGCCACAAGACAGAGGAACTTGAAAGCACGTGTCAGACCCAGAGGACAAGCCTGGCCTGACCCCTGCACACAAAGAACCTGGAGGGGCGAGTTCTCAGGGCGGGAAGCAGTCAGAGGTCGCCCGCGCTGGAGGGCGGAGTTACTGCTTCGCGGGCAGAGCCTCTCTCTGGTGACGAAGCCTTTTGGGAAGCGTGGTGATGGCTGCACACGTTGCACACGCGCTAATGCCGCTGACTTAGACGCGTACGAGTGTCAGGAGAGCTCTGTCAGAGACACTCCCCGGGTCTGCGTTTCGGGGCCCGGGTCCCTTAGCCCAGCACGCGCACCTGTGCCCTGCGAGCCGTGGCCGTCCACGCAGGTGCACCCCAGGGTCTGCTGGGAAGGCGCCGCTCAGCAGAGCTGGCCACACTGTGTCTCAGTCCTGGCCGGACCGAGCAGGGCCAGGTCCTTGACCACAGAGCAGAGCGAACCCCCCGAACCCACTCAGGGCTCAAACCCCAGGCAGGCTAATGAGGCTCCAGAACCGGCACCAGCCTGGGCAGCCCGGCTGCCTCCCTCCCACGAGCCCTCCCAGCTGTGGCCTACTCTCTAGTGCCCAGGACAGGAACTGCAGGAGACCCCGGGTCACCCACTGAGCTCAGGGACTGGGGCTCCTTGCTTCCCGCACCCCACTGCACCTCCAGAGCCCAGCACAGGTGAGGGACACACCAGCTCAAAGAGTCTGCTGCCTGAGTGGGGGACAGAGCACGGGGGCTGGGCCGGCCCTGCCGCCCTGGGCCCTGCCCCCACCCACCCTGCGCCCCAGGGCTGCGCAGCCAGAGCAGGCGGCCAGGTGCACCCCGGTGGGAAAGGGCAGGCGTTCATCCCCAGAGACTTACTCCCAGAACACACACAGTGGGACAGGACTGGTCACACACGCAGCACACAAGAGTCAACACGACACCGGGCAGGACCGGAGCCGTGCCGCGGCCGGGCCGGGAAGGTGAGGCGGAAGGCATGGACGCACCTTTGGAACCAATGGGACCAATTTTTCCATGGCGACCCACACTGCCCTTCTGTCCTTTGTCACCCACGTCTCCTGTGGAAGACAACGAGGTCAGAGTCGGTTGATGCACAGGCCATGTGATATCCCTCCCGTGAACATCATACACTCACACTCACACACTCACACATACACACACACACACACACAAATGCTATACACACACGTATACTATACACACATCCAAACATGTCCAAACACACATATTCACAAATATGCACACACCATATACACACGCATGTGTACCAGCACGGCTTCATCCTCACACACACCATATACACGCATGTGCACCGGCACAGCTTCATCCTCACACACACCATATACAAGCATGTGCACCGGCACAGCTTCATCCTCACACACACCATATACACGCATGTGCACCGGCATAGCTTCATCCTCACACACACCATATACACGCATGTGCACCGGCATAGCTTCATCCTCACACACACCATACACACGCATGTGCACCGGCACAGCTTCATCCTCACACACACCATACACACGCATGTGCACCGGCACAGCTTCATCCTCACACACACCATATACACGCATGTGCACCGGCACAGCTTCATCCTCACACACACCATATACACGCATGTGCACCGGCATAGCTTCATCCTCACACACACCATATACACGCATGTGCACCGGCATAGCTTCATCCTCACACACCCATATACACGCATGTGCACCGGCATAGCTTCATCCTCACACACACCATATACACGCATGTGCACCGGCATAGCTTCATCCTCACACACACCATATACACGCATGTGCACTGGCATAGCTTCATCCTCACACACACCATATACACGCATGTGCACCGGCATAGCTTCATCCTCACACACTCCATATACACACATGTGCACCGGCATAGCTTCATCCTCACACACTCCATATACACGCATGTGCACCGGCATAGCTTCATCCTCACACACACCATATACACGCATGTGCACCGGCATAGCTTCATCCTCACACACACCATATACACGCATGTGCACCGGCATAGCTTCATCCTCACACACACCATATACACGCATGTGCACCAGCATATTCATCCTCACACACACCATATACACGCATGTGCACCAGCATATTCATCCTCACACACACCATATACACGCATGTGCACCAGCATATTCATCCTCACACACACCATATACACGCATGTGCACCGGCATAGCTTCATCCTCACGCACACCATATACACGCATGTGCACCGGCATAGCTTCATCCTCACACACACCATATACACGCATGTGCACCGGCATAGCTTCATCCTCACACACTCCATATACACGCATGTGCACCGGCATAGCTTCATCCTCACACACTCCATATACACGCATGTGCACCGGCATAGCTTCATCCTCACACACACCATATACACGCATGTGCACCGGCACAGCTTCATCCTCACACACACCATATACACGCATGTGCACCGGCATAGCTTCATCCTCACACACACCATATATACGCATGTGCACCGGCATAGCTTCATCCTCACACACACCATATACACGCATGTGCACCGGCACAGCTTCATCCTCACACACTCCATATACACACATGTGCACCGGCATATTCATCCTCACACACACCATATACACGCATGTGCACCGGCACAGCTTCATCCTCACACACACCATATACACGCATGTGCACCAGCATAGCTTCATCCTCACACACTCCATATACACGCATGTGCACCGGCACAGCTTCATCCTCACACACTCCATATACACGCATGTGCACCGGCATAGCTTCATCCTCACACACTCCATATACACACATGTGCACGGCATATTCATCCTCACACACACCATATACACGCATGTGCACCGGCATAGCTTCATCCTCACACACACCATATACACGCATGTGCACCGGCACAGCTTCATCCTCACACACACCATATACACGCATGTGCACCGGCACAGCTTCATCCTCACACACACCATATACACGCATGTGCACCGGCATAGCTTCATCCTCACACACACCATATACACGCATGTGCACCGGCATAGCTTCATCCTCACACACACTATATACACGCATGTGCACCGGCATAGCTTCATCCTCACACACTCCATATACACACATGTGCACCGGCATATTCATCCTCACACACACCATATACACGCATGTGCACCGGCACAGCTTCATCCTCACACACTCCATATACACGCATGTGCACCGGCATAGCTTCATCCTCACACACACCATATACACGCATGTGCACCGGCATAGCTTCATCCTCACACACACCATATACACGCATGTGCACCGGCATAGCTTCATCCTCACACACTCCATATACACGCATGTGCACCGGCATAGCTTCATCCTCACACACACCATATACACGCATGTGCACCGGCATAGCTTCATCCTCACACACTCCATATACACGCATGTGCACCGGCACAGCTTCATCCTCACACACTCCATATACACGCATGTGCACCGGCATAGCTTCATCCTCACACACTCCCTATACACGCATGTGCACCGGCATAGCTTCATCCTCACACACACCATATACACGCATGTGCACCGGCATAGCTTCATCCTCACACACTCCATATACACGCATGTGCACCGGCATAGCTTCATCCTCACACACTCCATATACACGCATGTGCACCGGCATAGCTTCATCCTCACACACACCATATACACGCATGTGCACCGGCATAGCTTCATCCTCACACACACCATATACACGCATGTGCACCGGCATAGCTTCATCCTCACACACACAGATTGGATGCCGGTGAGCAGGAGCCGGGTGCGAATCCAGACCATCTGAGTGGCCAGGAGTCCCCGTGGCACAGTCACCCTCTGACAAGAGCTACGCACACCGAGACCCACGGCTGGTGCCACCTGCTGCTTCTAACGGGGATGTTCTATGTGCTGGGCAGAGAGGAACAGGGTGAGGACCAACCATTAAACCCCCTGTGACTGTGCCCGGCCGGGGAGGCTCAGTGGACTGAACATCGTCCTGTGGAGAGGTCCTGGTTCGTCCTGGTCAGGGCACATGCCCGGGTGGTGGGCTCGATCCCCAGTGGGGGGCGTGCAGGAGGCGGCCAATCGATGTTCCTCTCTCTGTCTCTCCCTCTCTCTCTCTGAAAAATCAATTAAAAAAATTTTTTTAAGCCCATGACTGTGGACATTGCCTACTTGATGACACTGTGGAGGTTCAGGAGCAGGGGTGTAACCGGCCCCGGGGCAGAGAGGCAGTGTGGTCAGCACACCCAGAGGTGCTCAGGGGACGCGGCCGGGCACAGCAACGCCGCTTCCTCCCGCTCCTCCAGGGGCAAGACTTTTGCAAAAAGCAGGCAACCCCCACCCCCGCCCTGGTTGTGAGAGGTGATTGGAAAAGCGCTGGACACACAGACACCCTGTCCCTTCCCGTTCGGGCTGGAGGCAGCCAGAGCTGGGAACGGGGGCGGCCCCCTCGCCCACCCACCCACCGCCCAGCACACGGGGCCTCCAGACACCGTGGAGCAGGCGGGCAGTTCTTACTCCTTCCTGCGAAGAGGTCACTCAGCCCTCTGACGTGAGCCGGGGCAGAAGGGCGCTGGGATTGAGCTCCCTCAGCGATTTGTACAAAGGGCTGCGACTCCGTGGATCCCAGGGAGCCCTGAGTGGTCCGGGGCACCGGCCTCCTTCCCGTGCCGCAGGGCCCCGAGGGCTAGGAGCGCGGGGAGGGTTCTCACACCCAGGCTCCTCTGTCATTTCAGAACAGGCGCCGGCAGTGTGCCCGCACCTCACCCTGCAGCAGCCTACCTTCCCGCAGGGGTCCCCACCCCCGGCCAGTCCCCGGGGCAGCCAGCCCATGTGGACACCAACTGGCATCTCGTGGAGAGGTGGGGAAGAGCACCCAGATGGGGGGTCCAGGTCCCCACATCAGCCTGCTGTCCTGGCCTCAGCATCAGCACCCCCCGGGCCCCAGTTCACAACATCACTGCAAAGACAGTGACCCTGACTCTGGGTGCAGGTGGGAGCACTGGGGTGCGGGCCCAGGAAGGAGACCATTTCCTGTGAATAATCTCTGTATGTTTTAAGCTTTGTACTATAAAACTAGCTTATTTTTTTAAATTCATTTTTATGAGTAAAGAGAAAACTAAGAAGTAAAATCGGCGCCTGGGTCTGGGGGAGGGGTCGCCTGTGAGGGGGTGACGGGCCCACATGAGCACGGATGTCAAACACGTCACACTGTGCACCTCAAAAGGCCAAAACAGCCCTGACCAGTTTGGCTCAGCGGTTGGAGCGTCGGCCTGCGGTCCCGAGAGACCCGGGTTCGGTTCCCGCTAAGGGCATGTGCCTCGGTTGCAGTTTGTCCCCGGCCCTGGTTGGATTGTGCAGGTGGCAACCACTCCATGTGTCCCTTTCACGTCGATGTTTCTCTCTCTTTCTCTCCCTTCCACTCTATCTGAACAACAAAATGAAAAAATGTCCTTGGGTGAGGATAAAAAAAAAAAAAAAAAGGCCACAACACCGGGCGTGGGTTTAAAAACGTGCTCAACAACCTTCATTCGTGTTGTTAGAATAATTTCTAAGAACTGGAAACAGCCCGGCTCTCCAAGGCTACAGGCTGGCGGGGGGCGTGGCTAGACCAGTCCCGGTGCAGCGTCTGGGAAGAGTGTGAAGTGCTGACACCCACCCCACAGGCCCGGGACTGGATGACAGTGCAGAGCGCCGAGCGCACCCTAATGGTGACGACACCGGCTGCCGCTGGCGCCTACAAGCGCTGGGCTGCCGCTCCCCACGTCTGGCCGACTTCCTGCGACCTCACAGAAGCCCGGGGGCTGAGGGTGTCCTGGCCAGGAGGACACACGCACCGCGGTCAGTGCCCGTCAGCGGTGAGTGGGAGCCTGTGGGGCTACACGCCTCCCAGGTCTGTGTGCCCCCCGCTGCCTTCAGTGTTTGCCCCACCACTGCTGTCTGCACCCCTCATGGCTGCACTCACGCATCCAACGCTCACAGCGATGCCCCTCTGGCAGATGAGGCTGGTGAGGGGCCGAGCAGCACAAGATCCCGTGCACCCCCGCTCCACGCACACACACCCCCTCCACGCACACACACCCCCTCCACACACCACCTGCCACGCACGCACCACACACAGACCACTCACCACGCACGCACCACCCTCCACGCACGCACCACCCACCACGCACGCACCACCCTCCACGCTCGGACCACCCTCCACGCACGCACCACCCTCCACGCACGCACCACCCTCCACGCTCGGACCACCCTCCACGCACGCACCACCCACCACGCACGCACCACCCTCCACGCACAGACCACCCTCCACGCATGCACCACCCTCCACGCACGCACCATCCTCCACGCACGCACCACACACAGACCATCCTCCACGCACGCACCACCCTTCACGCACGCACCACCCACCACGCACGCACCACCCTCCACGCACGCACCACCCTCCACGCACGCACCACCCTCCACGCACACCTCCCAGGATGCACTGTCCTTCTAGAGCCACCAGGCCAGGGCCAAGGAGCGTTGCGCAAAGAGGCCTCTCCTCACCCTGCTTCACCACCAAGCTAGCGTCCGTCCTGAGACCTACACAGGTGCTGGGCTCCCCTCACGCCCCTCACCCAGCTTCTCCCCCGCCCTCGTGTGCAGCCTGAGGGCTGAGAAGGTACCTTTTTCTCCCGTGGGGCCCACTCTTCCAGGCCGTCCTGGTGCGCCTTTGTCTCCCTTCTCTCCAGCGTCCCCTGCGGAAGAAGCCACATGTGTTGAGGACTCGCTCTGAGCACAGGACCCAGTGTGACAGGAGGAGGGAGAGCGAGGAGATAGCTTCTTAGTCCATCTGTGCTGCCAGCTGGGTCCTGGGCCTCCGCTCCCCCGCCCATCCCTCCAGGGGGGGTCATCTCTCTTCCCCACCCTCTCCCACCCCCTGACCTCTGTCACAGAGGGTGCTCTGCCCTCTCCAATTACCCCTCTGGCTGGATCCCATCTGGCCCTGACACGGTGCTCCCCAAGACCCCGCATGTCACTATGAAGGACGTGGGCGCAGGTGGTCGGGAGGGCTCCCTGACTCCCGCTCCGATGTCTTGGACGAGGGCTGAATGAGTGTCTGGAACACTGTGCTGCTGCACAAATCACCCGCCCTCCACCGTTTCAACCCTAACTCCGAGGCTGCCTCCGGGCCCCACTCGCTCCCAGTGACCTTGGCTTCGTCCTTGGGGACTAGCCCTGCACACGCTTCTTAAGAACAAAGGCTGTTTCCAAACTCTGTTCACATGTGGCAGGGTTTGAAATGTTTGCTGTCTGCCCCTCCCAGGGGACATAAAGATCTAAGCCCGCAGGTGATCACGCCAGCCAGCATTTCTGCACACCCCGTCCCTCGGAAATTACGTGCAATCCATGCTGCACACCAGGGAGCCCGGCCGCTTTCCCACGGCCCCTTCTTGATCGGGTATTGATTTGGGCTGATTTACCGCGCAGAGTTCTCAGTGACGGCTATTTCTCCGCCAGCAGAGACTCACATTTCAGCTGGCTTGTCCCTGCCACGGAGAACAAACTGCTCTCTCCTCTCCGAGAAATAAAGGAAATGTCGTCAGTATTTACTACTTGCCTGCCTCCCTGCAAATCACACGGACATCTGTGAGCAAAGAGCTTTCGCCTAGATGGCATGGGGGCCGTTCTGGACCGGCCAGGAGGGCGCACGCCAGCGGCGAGGGCACACGCGAGACGCTCTGACGCAGGGCAGCCAGGAAGGGCGGTGGGTGGCCCCGAGTTCATGACACCTGCTTCTGCAGAGCACGAGGAAGCAGCGACCCAGGTCAGCCCTGGAGCCCACGGAGGCCGGCGGAGCACGAGGAGCAGTGGGTGCCAGACGAGAGAGACGGGGACCTGGGCCACCGTGCCTCCCGCTGCAGGGGAGAGCGCTCGGACCAGAGTCCAGGGCCCGAAGAGCGGAACTCCCCAACCCCGCGTCACCCCCTGGCTTCGTCAGCCTGGGTTGCTTTTGTTTTGATTTTAGTTTTATTTATTGATTTTTACAGAGAGAGGAAGGTTTGTTGTTCCACTTACTGGTGCATTTGCTGGTTGATTCTTGTGTGAGCCCTGACCAGAGATTGAACCCACAGCCTTGGGGTACCAGGGCAACGCCAGGGACTTCGACCTTGTTTGAAGGGATGACGGTGAACAGGTTTAAATCACTTTGCTGGAACCCAGGGGACAGCGGGGCCCTTTCCGTCTGGCAGCAGGCGGCTCGCGTGTTCGCACACGATCGCACACCGAGAGCAAGGTCTCCGGCCATTGGGAAAGGCGGTGTCACCCTCTCCAAACCCAGAGGAGATGTGTCGTCACCAACCCTCTCACCAAACGCACTTCATCTCGAGCTCCAGCCCTGGCCAGTGGGTGGGGTGCACGGAGTGGTGCTGAGGAATCTGTGGCCCAGTCCGGCCTCGCGAGGGGTCCCCCGAAGACACCACAGCCTCTCACTCGCCAGGGCGGGGTCTCAACAACATCTGTCTCCCCAATGAATGGGGCCTCGCCCACCTTTCAGTGACCTCACTGGGCTTATATTTCTATCCCCAATGACTGACAGCTCCTGACGCACTGGGGTGACAAACTCCTCGCAGACTATCTGGCTCGTCCTGTGGAGCATGGCCGGTGGCAGCCTCGTTCCCGCCCTCGCTCTGCAGGTAACCAGCTTGGTCCCAGGATGGAAGCAGGACTATCCTGTGGGTCACCATGTGCCTTGAAGCTGAGTGTGATGGTGAAGCCCATCTCACACACACACACACTCCTGTGATGAGAAGTCCTCCCTGTCCCCAGGACTCCTCCTGAAAGAAGGCGGAGCCACCTTAGGTGGAAAGGGTCCTTCAGCTTCTGCCCTGTGGTTCCATCTCTCTGCAGTCACAGGCTTTACAGCACGTGAATGTCACAGCATCTCTGCAAGGTCAGAGACGATCTGTGAGCCAAGAAGGGAGGTGGCATCCCTTCATTCACCCAACATGAACAACTAAGTACAGGCGCTCAGCAGGGTAGCCTCTGCGCAGCCACCGTCCTCCTGGCCCACACCACACGCTGGCATGGGGTGCGCGCTCAGTGGCAGGGCTCCTCTGGTGCCAGTCTTCGACGTCACAGGGCACAAATCTGCCTCACCCCAAACTCTTATCGTCTGGAAGCCCCAGACTTGCTTCTTGTCCTGATTCCCCTCCTCCCCACCCCCTGCTGCCAATATAAACATTAGAGCTAGGAACTTCCTGTCTGAATGAGGGGCTGTTTCTAATCAGCAGGCTCACAACAAGAGTAGGACCCCACCTTGTCCCTAGGAGTCACCTGTCAGAGCAAGACCTGAGTTCACACACAGAACGGTGCCCATAGGAAGTGACAGGCTGCGGTCATCGGTTTGCAATGTATCTGTCTCGTCATCATCACACTGTACACCTTATGAATATACAACTCCTATTGCTCACTTACACCTCAGTAAAGCTGGAAATAAAAACAGAACAAGACATCTGGATTTTAAGGGCATTAATAAATATATTAAGAAGTTCCTCTACTAGAATTGTCCCCTTGGCACTGACAGGTGGTGAGAGTAAACCTAATGAAGCCAAGCTACCTTATAACCTTATTGAAACAGTGTTGCCATATAGACCTGATGAACCAATGTTGCCCTGTAGGCTTGATGAAACAGTGTTGCCATGTAGGCTTGATGAAACAGTGTTGCCCTGTAGGCTTGATGAAACAGTGTTGCCACGTAGGCTTGATGAAACAGTGTTGCCACGTAGGCTTGATGAAACAGTGTTGCCATGTAGGCTTGATAAAACAGTGTTGCCATGTAGGCTTGATAAAATAATGTTGCCGTATAGACCCAGGGACCTGGACCAAGTGCCCCAGGTACATGGCCTGTGTCCCACCTGTAGCCCTGAAATGAAGGATAATCCTGGGGTACAGGGCCACATGGGACTAACTCATGAACTCTCTGTTCTCCAGAACACTGTCCTGTTCTGCTCACTGTAGAAGCCCAGAGAAGAGTGACACCAACCAGCTCTCTGTGGACGAAGCTTTGGCCTGGCATTTTAGTGGCTCCTCACTGATGACACCACAGTGTTGGTGTTGAGACATTGCTGATGAGAAGACATGCAGCTGGCCCTGGGGTAGGTCCCACCTCGAAGGGGACAGACCGCAGAGGGGGCAGACCACAGAGGGAACAGACCCAGGAGGGGGCAGTCCACAGAGGGGGCAGACCCAGGAGGGGGTAGACCCAGGAGGGGGCAGACCACAGAGGGGGCAGACCCAGGAGGGGGCAGACCACAGAGGGGGCAGACCCAGGAGGGGGCAGACCCAGGAGGGGGCAGACCACAGAGGGGGCAGACCCAGGAGGGGGCAGACCCAGGAGGGGGCAGACCACAGAGGGGGCAGACCCAGGAGGGGGCAGACCACAGAGGGGGCAGACCACAGAGGGAACAGACCCAGGAGGGGGCAGTCCACAGAGGGGGCAGACCCAGGAGGGGGTAGACCCAGGAGGGGGCAGACCACAGAGGGGGTAGACCCAGGAGGGGGCAGACCACAGAGGGGGCAGACCCAGGAGGGGGTAGACCCAGGAGGGGGCAGACCACAGAGGGGGTAGACCCAGGAGGGGGCAGACCACAGAGGGGGCAGACCCAGGAGGGGGCAGACCACAGAGGGGGCAGACCCAGGAGGGGGCAGACCCAGGAGGGGGCAGACCACAGAGGGGGTAGACCCAGGAGGGGGCAGACCACAGAGGGGGCAGACCCAGGAGGGGGCAGACCACAGAGGGGGCAGACCCAGGAGGGGGCAGACCACAGAGGGGGCAGAGCCAGGAGGGGGCAGGCCACAGAGGGGGCAGAGCCAGGAGGGGGCAGACCACAGAGGGGGCAGACCCAGGAGGGGGCAGGCCACAGAGGGGGCAGACCCAGGAGGGGGCAGACCGCAGAGGGGGCAGAGCCAGGAGGGGGCAGACCGCAGAGGGGGCAGACCCAGGAGGAGGCAGACTGAGGAGGGAGAAGACCCAGGAGGGGACAAGCTTCACTTCTGCACTCGGACGCAATCGCCAATGCAGATTTTAAAAAGCATCTGGCTCAGAAATGCCCTCACGATGCGCTTGAAAGCCCAGAGCCACTTGAATGTTGGCCAGGCCCTGTTGTGTATTTACACTGTCAATGCTGCTGAACTGTGGGAAGCGTGGACTGTTCCCCCGGAGGTTTTGGACCCCACGACTCCATACTCCAAGAACACCGCTGCTGTTAACAGTTCAAGATGCTTCCTTCTAGGCTTTTAATCTCTTCCCATGTATTTGTGTATTTTATTGGAATTAGGGAAGGACTAATTAAATGTTGACATTAGCTCTAGAATATACTTAATCTTTCCATCCCTTACCATCTGCTCCTGGGTGCTCCCAGGCCCTGTGCTCAGCCCCAAAGGGTTTCAGGAGTAGAAAACAAAGGGGCGTCCAGTTTTAACCCCTAACCTCCTCAACCTGCAGACGCGTGCTCAGGGAGTACCAAGCCTTTGACTGAACCCCATTGTACGACAGAGATGGGGGCTGGGGGGGACAGGGGCCTTGTCACCGCATGGCTTGTCCACAGTAAGCTCAGAGCACTGGCTGTCTGCTGAGGGGTGTCAGCACAGCATCCACGGGACATAGGACTGACGGGGCCACGGCAAAGGTGTCCCTTCAGCACTTCTGAGAAGCAGCCAGAGTGTGTTCACCAACAGAGAGGCCCGGGCCCAGGCCCACCCTGCTCCACCCCGCAGGTGGAGGCCACAGACACTCAGGCGCCTCCCGCTCCGGGAGCCCCTGGAAAGGAACATCCGGAGAACGGGAGCCGGCCCACGTCTGGGGCCACCTGTGCAAATCTAAACTGAAGGTCCCGCCAGACACCCACCCAGGCCACGAAGTCAGGGGCCAACTCGCCCTTCCACCCAAACTTCTGACAGCCTGCGTTTCTTCCGACATAGTTCAAATTTGTCAGAGTCAGTGTGCTGGTTATAATCAAAACCCCAGCCACAGGACCGGTTGGGCTCAGCAGTTAGAGTGCTGACCTACGTACGGACCGAAGGATCACAGGTTCGAGTCCCAGGCAAGGGCACGTACCTGGTGCAGGTTCAACCCCTGACCCTGAACGGGGTCATGTGGGAGGCAACCAATCAATGTCTGTTTTCCTCTCTCTCTCTCCCTCCCTTCCTCCCTTGTATTTTCTCTGCAAATCAATGGAAAAATATCCTTGGGTGAGGATTAACAAAAAAGAAAGAAAGAAAAAATATCTTCCGGTGAGATATTCGCAGCAATGGCAACAAGAACAAAAAGTGCCACAGAAGCCACAGGCTTGTCTGAACTGCAGGGTTGTCTTCTGGGGCCACACAGCAGAGGGAAAGCAGCCCCCAAGACCTCCCCGTGCAGCTGCCCGGTCTCCGGAGAGTAGCCCGCAGCCGGAGCGGGGAGGGAGGGCAGAGCCTGGGCCGCACCCCTGCCCCCCACCTTCCTGCCCAGGAGCTGGAGGCCCGGCTCATCCCTGGGTGCGGGGTGGAGGCGCCCTGTCCCTGTTGAAATCCCTCATCCCCCGGGAACCTGGGCCTGCGTCTTCCTTTGCACTGGCCCCGGGGCCCACAGAGCTCGTCCTCTTAGCACTCCGAGGTCTGGAAGCCCGTGCTTTGTGGGAACGTGACTTTCTCCCACGAAGGGCCCCCCGCGGGTGCGCAGGGCTTGCTCCGCCAGGAAGGGAGCTACAGACATGGCAAGAAGAGGAAAGTATCCCTGATCCCTGGGAGAAGGGGGAAGAGCCCCAGGGGGACAGGCTCCGGAGCTGAGCAGCCAGGCTGGCAAGATGCCAAATTCCTGCCCCTCGTGTGGTGTGTCCATGTCTGCAAAGGGGCCGGAGGCGGCCATTCTGGGGTCGCCTGATGGCGGGCTGGAGCCCGGGACAAACGCCAGCCGCCTTCACTCAGCCCGTGCAGAGGCCTGAGCCGCACGTACGTGGTCTCTGAATTGCAGAACTCCTGGCCGAACGCAGAGCGGACGCTATGTATTCCAACCCTTGCTTTTTCAAATGGGGAAACTGAGGCACAGCCAGGTCAGACCCTGAGCCGGCACCGGGACTCAGGACTGGGGACTCAGGAGGGCCACTGTGTCAGCAGGCATGGGGTCCCCACCCGCCCTCTGGCCACTCCTGGAGGCCGGCGGGGAGCCCGGGCAGCGGTACCTTTGAGGCCGGGGACCAGGATCTGCACGGAGCAGGCGTCGTCCGCTGTCTGCTGAGACTGAGGCTGTCCAGACGGCACGAGCGACAGGAAGGCCAGGCTGAGGAGGGCCAGCTCCCTCTTCATAGTGAGCACGGGCAGGGCACTGACTCCTGCAGAAAGGAGGAGTACACAGTGACGGGAGTTCCCCGAGCCGGACAGCGAGTGACAGTGTGCAGGCCACAGCTGGGCTCGCGGCCACCGGACAGCGCTCGAGGCTGTTGGGAGCCCCGTCGTGCTGGTCTCTCCACTGTACACTGTCCCCCGAGGTTCACGACATTCTCTCCCCGTCTTTATGACCGGCTCTCACACATTCGACGGTGTGTTTATATTCGTGAAGCCCGAGACCCGCAAGCTCACACGCCAGGCCTTGCCCCGCACTGTGGTCCCTGGCCCGTCCCGCCGGCCCCTGCACAGGGCACCGCTCTCTACACACGACACACACAGGTGACCTTGCACAGCAGCTTGTGTGGCTGTGCCCGGTGTGAGTGTCACCAAAGGACGTGTCTCATCGCGGGGCCTCTGGACCGGCCTTCCTGCCCCACACGCGCCCAGGCCACACTGCACCTCCTTTGTCCCCTCGTTCTCCTTCAAGTGCAGGCGAGACCCCTCGGGGGACTCTGAGGGAGACGGCGATGCACCCAGAACTCTGCCTGGGGCCTGGCTCGTGGCTGGTGCTGGCTCAGTGACTCCTGTGGTGTCTGATCACACGCAGGGGGCAGCCCACGGCCAGCAATGGCCACCAGACGAACAAAAGATCTGGAAGCCAGTGTCTGCCCTGAGCGTGCACCGTGCTCCCCTGTGGGAGCTCCTGCCTTAGCCAGTTCCTCCTGCACAGGACGGACACAGGGGGGCACGGGCTACCACCTGGGGCCTCCTGGGAGGTCACAGAAGCGGCCATGAAGGACCAGGGAGGACGGTGAGCGTTCACTGCGGGGAAGCAGGACGCAGTCAAGTCCTCCCCACCCAAGGCCAGCTCCTTGTCCCTTCAGGGGTCGGAACCTCAGAGAAAGCAGTGCCCTCCCCGCACAGCACAAGGGAAGGCGGACGCAGGGCTGGGCCTGGGCTCGCTCCCCCTGGCAGTTCCTTCTGGGCCCCGTCGGGGCGCCTCCCGCACCATGGAGCAAGGACGGACCTCGCTGCACTGTTATCTCGTCTGTGGGAGCACAGAGCCGACATCGGCTGTGCCCACGTGGACGCGGGTGTTAATGGAGACAGGTGCTCACCTGACAGACGAGGGGGGCCCACAGGGGCAGCTGAGCGCTCAGCCCCACATCACGGAGGGAGGGCCTCCAGCTGCCTCCCCGCCGCTGCCCCAGCCCTGCCGCCCGTCTGTCTCTGCTCACACACCTGCTCACACACCTGCGGCAGCCAGAGGGCAGGAGGGAGGGGACGCTTGCTGCCCACCCCAGGCTCCTCCCCGCTGTGGGCCCAGCGAGTGCGTGTGGGAGTAACCCGGACTGGACGCGGGCAGCGCGCCCCCAGCTTGTGACCTGTAGGTGCTGGGAGCACCCAGGCCTGAGCCGAGTGAAGGGACAGACAGACAGAAGTCAGCTCAAGGCTTTCCCACGCCCTGGAGCGGTTTCCGGCCCACTGTCCACGGGCTCCAGGGCCGGCTCCTTGGACACCCCCCCTGGAGCCCGGCCTGCTGGCTGCTCTGGGTCCTTGACCATCATGCGCGGGGCAGCTGGGTAGCTGCTGTCCCGGGGACGACGCCACACTTGAATCCATTCCGTCCCAAAGAAGTCACAGCGAACACTCACTGCACCGACCTCTGCGCTCAGACGGCTCCTTGGTCCTGGAACGAGGCTCCCCAAGGCCTCAGGATCAGGAGCTCACCCGGACCTTCCTGTCCAGCTAGAGCCAGTGTGGGCCGAGGACCCGTTTGGCAGGCGTGCGGCTCCTCTGCCGGGTCCCAGGAAGCAGGCAGCAGCGAGAGACACAGGACGAGCCTCAGCGGGTTCCTGGTCCGTCCCTTCCCTCCCTCAGGGACCCACTGCCGTTCACACACGGGGTCCACCCCAGGCCTGCCCGGACCCTGGTCAGCTTCGCGCTCCCGCCCGCAGAGGTGGGGGTAGCCCTGAGTGGGAGTCTGCTCCCACCCCACCCGGCCCTGGCTCCCTCCTGCCCTCTGGGAACAGGGATCTCCTCGTATAAACGGAGAAGCCAGGGCCCCCCTGGACCTCGGTGAGAGCAGCGTCCTCTCCGGCCAGAGGCTCGGCCCTCCTGTCAGTCAATGCAGCCGCTCCCCGGGGGAAGGGCACCCCGCAGGAATTCTCGGCAGGCACACAGAATAAGGATGAGATCGACAGCGAAAATAAAGGGCTTAATTCCCCAAACACACAATGTGCAATTTATTAGGGGTCCCCAGCAGGGCCAGCACTTCATGGTCACCCTCAGCACCCGTGGAGGACCACGCCGGATGCACGGGGAGCTCAGGCCTGCCACCCGCTGACCCCCAGGGCCAGGGTCCCCAGGGCTGCAGTGGGGACAGATCACCCCCAACGGCACCGGTTTCTTATCTTTTTACCAAGACCACAGACTCAGGAGAGGCCTCTCTCTGTTATTTTTTCCCAGTTTCACCCAAGTCCTGTCTGTTCCTCTTAGGGACATAGATCTTGTAAATGAAGCAGACGTTTGTGAACACGTGGGCACCGCCTGCCCACGGCCAGGCCAAGTGCTCCCGCCAAGTGCTCCCGCCAAGTGCCGGAGCATCGAGCATCGAGTGTGCGTGGGGCTCCGCGCGGTCTGTGTGCGGTCAGAGCCCTCCCCTAGCTCCGCCCGCAGGCCAGCTCCGCAGCCAGGTGCCAGGCAGGAAGGGCCACGTGCACCCCTGCTGTCTGGGGCAGCTCTGGAGCCCAGACTACCCGCCTGCCCCCCTCCAGGGTCCCCACGACTGAGCTCTGGTCACAGCACAGGTTACTGGTCGTCCACGTGACCCCACCAGTGGCTGGCCAGCAGGCTGACCGGCTCAGACTCGGGCTGCTCAGGAACACTCATGGGTCCTGTAGCCATGTCCCCCGGGGACGGGAGGGAGAAATGCTTCACCTCTTCGAACCCCTGTAACCCGAGAGGGCTCGACTGGATCACCGGGCAGCTGGACCTTCCGCGGGAGCTGGTGAATTAATCCAGGCGGGGAATCGGTCCTGATGGACTTAGCCTCGAGCCTTTGCCTGGGTCTCAACTGAGTCCCTTGTCCCCGTCCACTCCTTCCTACCACTGTCTGGAACCCGCCCAGCTCAGCCTCTCCCCACTGCTGACCCCATCCTGCTCCCCAGGTGGGAAAGTCGCTGGCCAGGGCACCCCTACCTGAGGTGCACCGGAGGCGAAGGGGCGTCCTGACCGCCGGGGGCCCTGGAGGACACTGTGCCCGGGAGCCTCATGGCTGCTATTTACAGGGCCGGCCGGACTCAGCCCCACACGGAGGGAGCAGGGCTGGGCTGTCCCTCCACCCAGCAAATCAGGCTGGGCCTCCTCCGCGGTGTTATCTACAAACCATTTCCTGTTTGAAACCATCCTGACCTGCTGGGGGGCCTTGGGGGTGGCGCCGAGCGTGGGAATGCAGCGACAGGGAGCGGGGTCATGGGCCTGGATCCCTGCCGTTCGTCTCTGCTCCCCGACACCCCGCACCTCTGCTGTTCTCTTTGGAAGCTGAGCAGGAGTGCTCCGGGGCCCAGGGGGCCCAGGGGAGAGTGCGGTGAGCCCGCGTCCAGCCGCGGAAGACACGTGCCGACACGCTCCTTTGTTCCTCCTTTGTTCCGCGTGGGTCTCACGGTGACACGGCGGGACCGTCCCCACCTAACCCCGCAGGCCCAAGCTCTGCGCTCACTGCGCTTCCGTTTAGGCCGCACAGGCCCCGACACCTGCTGTGGTGCTGGCCGGGGACCTACGAAGTGATGACCGCGGGGGACTGGCCGCACAGGCCCCGATGCGTGCTGTGGTGCTGGCCGGGGACCTACGAAGTGATGACCGCGGGGCACTGGCCGCACAGGCGCGTATTCAGGCTGAAAGGGAATCACAACAGATCACAATGTGAAGACCGACAAGCGCCACACCCGCCCCAAGGCCCTGGAGAAGAACGACTCTTCCTTACCTGCCCGACCGGTCAGTAGCTCTGACAGCCGACGGAATGGACCACAGCGGGGAGAACACAGACGGCCCGGGCCCAGCGCACAGACTCACAGCCCTGCAGCCGTGAGGGGACTGCATGCCCTCCCCAAGGCTCCCAGAGATGACCTCTCCAGGCCACAGGGTTTCCCAGAGTTCTACCAGCAATTAAAGAAAACAAACCCCATTCTGCATCCCTCATCCAGAACACACTCAGCAACTCAGTCCGTGAAGCTGGTGTTACCCGAAACCAAAGCCACACAGAGACAGTGCACAAACAGCCACAGACCAATAACCCCCAGGGTATAGATGCAAGAATAGTTAACAAAGTATTAGCAAATCGCCCAGCTGGTGAGGCTCGGTGAACTGAGCATCGTCCCATGGACTGAGGGGTCCCAGTTTGATTCCTCCTCAGGGCACATGCCCCGTTGTGGGCTCAATCCCCAGCAGGGGGCGTGCAGGAGGCGGCCGATTGATGTATCTCTCACATTGATGTTTCTCTCTAAAAAAGTCAGTAAAGTCCTGGCCAATTTGGCTCAGCGGTAAGAGTGTCGGCCCGCAGACCAGAGAGACCTGGGTTCAGTTCCTGCTAAGGGCATGTATCTCGGTTGTAGTTTGTCCCCAGCCCCAGTTGGGGTCGTGTGGGTGGCAACCACTCGATGTGTTTCTCTCACATGGATGTTTCTCTCTCTCTTCCTCCCTCTTTCCCTCCCGCTCTATCTGAAGATAAATGCAAAAATGTCCTCGGCTGAGGATAAAAAAGTAAATAAGTCAATAAAACATAAAAAACAACATAAAAATATTTTTTAAAAGTATTAGCGAGTAGAATTCAGCAGTGTATAAAAATATTTATAAGCTATGACCAAGAGGGGAATTTCAGGATGCAAGACTGGGTCAGTATTTAAAAATCAATCAATGTAAATAATACCAACAAGCTAACAAAGGACAATCACATGACCCTATCAGTTGATGCAGAAAAAGTATACAGA